ATGAGCTTAGGAAGCTCTCTCTTCTTGTCCGGGGCCCACTAGACTTTCATAGGTTAGTTTATGTACTCCCTACCTACTTGAGTTCCCCTACAATCCTATCAGCACTTGGTGGCCTTCAGCAAAGAGTGAGCACTGAGCACTGAGCACTGCGATCGTTTTCAATCGGCCAGTCCAGCAACGCACTAGCAAAGTATGTGGTATCACGCCCTCGTACTATCCCTTGCTTCTGGCAGCACAGCCTTCTTGGCAACCTGTAGATCTGACTACTTTTGCCAATCAAACGTCTGAGTGGGCAACGCGCAACTGTTTGTGCCTTCTTCCGGTTAGGTTGGTTGGCTTGTTGGTACGTAGGTCCTTAGTATTGTGCGATCCGTACTCTTGAGAAGTCGAGCTATTTACTTGGTGGATCTGCCAACATGTGCTACATCTGGCTATTGAGCCGTTGAACTGGAATGTGTGATTTCTTATCTCGGTAATCAGGACCAGCACAGGTGATCTCAATAGATGGATCAGATTCCTCAACTTTGGCCTCGTGTGCCATGGTATCGAAGCGTCAACAAAAAAAAAGAGGCAGATCATCGACGTTATCCAGGTACATATGTGAGTACCACAACAATGACGAAAATGCGCGTTCCATATCCTTGGATCTTGCGGTCATCAAGCCGGGATGGGAGACCTTGGCGGCCACCTACGGAGAGCTTCGCATCAGGTGCTCTGCTCTCGAGAGTTTGCGCGAAAGTATACTGGAGCTGTAGCTTCAATGCTTTATATCACCTATTAATTCAGTATAATCTATAGCACCTGGTCCTTAATATGTAATAATTTTATGAGAGGAGCAGGACTCCAGTGAAATACGGACACTTCTCAGTAGTACCAACCAGATCTCACTGGATTTACTGTGATACCTTAAGCTTCAGGTCTCTCTACCTTGCTGTAATGTAGGACGTTTGGCTAGGTGTAGATAGTCAGACCTACATCATTACTCCTGCAACATTCTGTCATCTGTGAAACTCTGACCGGGATAAATCCCTGGATAAATCCCTCAAGATTCTCTCCCTTGCTGCTGAAGACTGGGGTACCGTTTCAACGTAGCAGATAGATAATCCATTGCGGAAGGTCGCATGGGATCTGCGTCCAGTACCTACCTTATGGAATGAGGAATCTGTCCATCTTCATTCGTTTACAGTTGACGCGACTTTCTACTATTTTGCTCGATTTGATGTGATACTGCTCCTTTTCCTGTCTTCCTCGCCTCCCATTCATCATTCCTACCAGCTCTTTCCTGTTCCTGTTGCGGTCGGGTATAATTTCCAAACCCCATCAATTTATGAATGATGAAAGGCCATTTTCTTCGGGATCCAAACCCACTCTTCGGAGTGGTACAGTACAGCAAGAGGGCACGAGACAGATAGATAGGCAGAGAAGCGCAGAGAGACACTGGACGGACAGGCGCCGGTCTCCACTCCTACCATTCTTTTCTAGTTTTCACTCCACCAAAAAACTCTCTTCCTTTTCCTTTCTAATATTCCAGAATTTCAAATCGCCTGGTGCCCAGGTCTCAGCCACTCAGCGCTTAGGTACTATGGGGTACTGGACCCACTTGGCCTAGTCTGTCTGCCCTATTGGAATCTCTTTTTTCTTGTCTGGCTTGGTTTGTGAGTTGGATGAAAGATCCACCCTCCATCTCCTGACCAGTGGCGAGCACGATTCAATCGCACATTTCCCCACCCAAAGGCTTCCAGATTCTGTTCAGGTTACAGCACATTTTCCCTTCTTGTCCTTTATCTGGTCGACCTGAAGCTCTAGGGAGGAGACATGACGTGATCCTCACTCCTCTTATTAGACATTTATTTGGTGTCTTCTGCGCTTTCCATTGCAGGCAGTACCTGAGTAATTTCGTTCTGAGTGAGATGATTTCTGGTACGTAGAAAAAGAGCACACCACTGCCAGTCATTCCTCCCTCTTCATCTCTTCCGTTTTGTGTCTCTCTCGCAGCCAAAATCCCTCGTACCAACGGTGGAACAGAAGACCGCTCTCACATCATTGTCCGATCATCACTCTCCCCATCGCCTTGTGTTCCTAGTGGCTCCCCTTATCCGCCGAGGTCGGCTCGATAGAGAACAAGTACATACTCCAGAGTAGATACAAATACTAGACCACCGGGGCGCCCTTCCCTGCTACGATCGACCGGGAAGTATCGTCATTTCCCAAATTGATTGTGGTGTAAAAGAAGCGCTTCCTTGGGTCGAATCATTGAATCTGTGATTTGATTCGATTGTTGGTTAGTCTGGAACCCATTTCTAAGGTGTGTTTCTATTATTTCATTCCTTTTTTCTTCTTCGGCGGTTCCATTTTTTTCCTCTTTTTTTTTTTTTTTTTTTTTTTTTTTTTTTTTCCATTTTCCCTTTTTTTTTTTTTTCTCCCTTTTCCTTTTTCCATTTTCCTTCCTCCTTCCTCCTTGGCTGTGCCGTTCCTGTGGACCCAACCGCCCCCCAGCTGCTCGACGCTTCCGTGCAGGGTTTAGAAATCTGAAGGGTCTGTCTGATCATCGATTGTGAATCCTCTCTCCACTTTGAGTTCCCTCTCTTGGCTCACTCTCGGTCTCACTATCATTCAAAACTACTCGCTCCCCCTCTTCCTGGATCCTTGTGCCCTTTCTGAGACCTTTTCACCTTTGCTTTATGTCAACTGTCCCTTTCTAGGATATACCTCTTGTCTTACTATTATTGTTGTACTCTTAACTACTGTTTCATTATTACCATACTATATTCGCACCCTCATACCGCACCTCCCGGCAGGCAGCAGACTAATCGGTCCTTTGTCTCTTATCAGACCTCAGCCCTCGTTCAATGATAACTGAATCATCATAACCATCCGCTCTCTTACGATACGGTGACACGTCAAAAGTCAACACCCTTCTTCTAGCACTCTGCGCCTTCGACTGAACGCATACAAACCATATACACTACGGCCTCTTGCGTCCTTGCTCGGTTGGGTTCTGTGTCGGAAGGCTGCAGACATCGATTGACTCGACACCACTCCGCTACCAAACATTCGCCCACTGTGTTCGTCATCAGTTCGGCAATCCGGGTCAGGGAAATTGGGGACTCCCTGAGAACCCGTGAAATACGTGAAAACGAGAAGCCCCACGATCTGCATACACTCTGGTAAGGGGACAACTTTGTGTGCAGTAACGCAAATTTCTCAATAAGCTCGAAAGGGTGCCGCATGCTATACGCGATGCTCAAAAAGAGGTCTTTATACCCTCCTTTATTCTTCTGGAACAGCTCTCCTACTTCGACGCCCGAACTCTCGCCGACGTCATCGTCGTCGGACAGCGAGTCGGACGAGGATATGGACTCGTCCGGCTCCCGTCCGGTGAGTCTGAATGTTCAACCGGGTGCGTTCTGTCCTATGCGACCAACACTCGATGAGGTGCTAGCGAATACGGCACCTGCTCCGTACACCCTTAGCGCGTTTATGGCGTACCTTTCTCAAAATCACTGCCTCGAGACTCTGGAATTTACTTTGGAGGCCAAGCGGTACCGGGAGACGTATGTCTCGCTAACCCATCAACTGCGAGAGTCGCCCATTGTGACAGATTGCCCCGAAAGCCAGCACTTGCGTATGCTCTGGCAGCGACTTCTGACCGCATACATCCTTCCCGGTGCTCCCCGCGAGATCAATGTTTCCAGCGAAGTTCGGGAGGAGATCCTACAACTCGCGAACTCGCACATCCCCCCACCCCCTGAGACACTGGATGCCGCCGTGAAACTGGTCCACGACCTGATGGAAGAGTCCATCTTCCTCCCCTTTCTCAACGCCCATGCTACGTCCGCACATGTTTTGCCGCTATCGGAGCCCTTGTTCTCGAACGATGACGATGTCACCGTCGTATCGAACTCGAGTTTAGATGAACACGTCGTCAAGAGGGGGAGACGGCTTTCGCCCAAGTCCTCCCGGGAGCTGGGAGCTCCGGTTTCCTCGGGGCCGCCTTCTGGCCATTCTAGCCGCTCTAACTTCTCATTCGGCGCTGTCACCTCCGTGGGCAAAACCAGCAACCGCACTTCCGGCCAGGTTTCGTCCACTACCAGCGGTGACTCCTCTCTGACCGACGACTCAGGAAGCATGCAGTCTAATTACGGTACTGGAGAACCAATGACTCCTCCGACCACACCACCCTCGAGTGAGCCCTCCTTGACTTTGGGTCACAGTCCGAAGCATCGCACCGATAATCCTTGGAAGAAAATGGGGATGAAGTTAGGATTCAAGAAGCGTTCGGGCCACGGGAGCTCGGGCAGTCAGAATCTGCGATCCTCCATGGATGATTAGAACGGCTAAGCTGTTGACCGATGGCTCTCTTATCTCTTTCAGTCTAGGAGGTCCTTCTCAACCTGGCGGATCGGACCACCTAGAAGGTGTCTTGGGCATCTATTTTCTCATGTTTTACGCTGCATCATTTGTTAGACACGACTCGATTGCATACACTTGCGCTGCATGCATACTCGGATTCATATTTGGGTTGTTAAGCGATCGCTTCGCATTTGGACTATTTGGATATGAGTGAACGGTGCAAACGCATGGCATTTGTTCTTTTGGCTGCATTTTCATAGCAGGAGTTTTGTGAGAGGTCAAGCGAGCGAGCATTTTCCTCTTCTGGTCTGGTTTCACAAAATCATATAGAATTTGGTTGTTGCAAAAATTGGATGGGAGGTGACTCTGTCCTGGCGTTCCGTTGTTGTCCAGCTGAGCGACGAGGTCGACCTCGTCGTCCCTGGATGATTTGATGATGATTGATTGTTTTATGATGCATGGACTCATGTTTACGGACTCTGGATGCTGATGTGTCTCGCATCCTGGAGGTCGCATATCTGGACACCCTTCTCTGGCATGTATATAGATACCCAATACGACTGATTGCCTTTTGGCTGTACAATGTCCGGTAGTTGTCTTTTAAAGGGTTATGGATTCGTTTCTTAGCCATAAGATAGACGACATCGCTACTGGTGGTTATCAACCACAATCCTCCGCCTAGTCCTTGTCTCCAAAGCCGCTATAGTCAAATCCCAGCCCGCCTCCTCAAGACTCTGCAGATATCGCTCGAACCTCGCGTGGCGATTGAGGAAGTCCAGAGTGCGCGCTATCACATCCAAGATCTGCCGATCTCCTTCCTCAGACGAGGAGATATACAACACGCGCGCAGCAAGCAATGCGTGCGTCCAGGCCTTCAGCTGCGATCTGGCGGAGCAGGTGTTCTTCAGGACGAGACTGGCGTACCAGACGGGGCCGTGCGCTCCGCGCCGCACCAGGTAAAGGATATAATCCTCATTTGCGAAGAGAGTGGAGAGTTCTGGCATTGGAACCGTGGTTCTGAGGCTCGGTGATGTTCGTAGCTTTGTGCTGGTGCTCGTCGACGACAGACGGAGGAATCGGTCGAGGGAGATGCCGATCTGGCAGTACCCGAGTTTGTGGCATTGCGTGGAAGCTGACGTCCACTTTAGGACCCCGTCGGGTTCGAAGATCCTTTCTTGTTCGGAGACATCGGCGGGTGTAAGCGGTGACCTTGACGTTGTCAGGCAAGTTTGCTGGCCGGACGGTGGGATTGGATGGTAGATTTCCCTGCTAAGACCGAGGCTATGGAGATCCAGAGCTGGGTCTGACTCGAGCAAGGTGGAAAAGACGATGTTGGCGCGCTGTCTGTTGAGACTGGTCATCTGGACAGCGCGCACGGCGGCGTAGTTCATGCCCAGGTGGACGGTGAGCAGGAACAGGAGGCTGGCCCAGGTGGCTGCGAAGCTTGTGACTTGGGACACGACGAAGGAGCCGACCTGTGTGTGTGTGTGCGTGTGAACCCGTGTCCGGCTGTCTCAGGATTTCGCAAAGACGAAACTTACCAGCATCCCAATCAGGGAGATGATCGTCTCTTGCGACGAGTCTTTCTGCAGACATAGTTCAGTACGCTGACTGTGGGACATTTCGCGGCTACTTACAGCATTGACTTCAGCGAGGTTCCCCCCACGAGCAAAATGGGCACTGAGACTCGCCTTGGAACTGCCCCCGGCAACACCGCACAGAGCGCGCAGCACGCCCGCAGCACTCAGTACGCCGACTCGGCCAACTCCCGCGGGGATCATGGGCGACAGGCAATCCAGGACCATGGCGACGTCGTTGAACACATCGGCCGCGAGGCGGTACATCTTGCATTCGGGCTCGAGGGCCGTCCCGACGCGATGTGCGAAGAGGATCGTGGCGATCCGGCCGGAGGAGTCCTGCAGGATGTGCAGGAGGAGAGCGGAGGTTGGAGAGGCGTTGGCATTGCCGACGCCTACACCTTGGAGTACGGCTCTGGAGGATAAGAGACCGGCAATGGAGCTGCAGAATGCCTGGAGGGAGTCCTGAGGCGAGGCGTCAGCTTCTCTGCTGAGTCATGTGTACTTCACGCGGCGGAAGGTGTCGAGAATCCATGGAATCCTTACGAAGATTTGATACCTTTGTATGATTAGCAACTCATGTCCTATCAAGTACCGAAAAGGTATCCTTACGGCAGATAATCATCGGTAACACTGTGGGGATACCCAGAAGGTAGAAAAACATCGACAAGCAGGTTGACGAAGGTCGCTAGAGACCATGGAGATTGGGGAGTAGAAGAAGGATGCTGGTATATTGTCAATCAATGTCCAGCGTCTCTATAGTGATCGTAAAGATCAATGGCCGAGTCCACGCAGTTGCATGAGAGTGACAAGTCACGTATAAGTCTAGGGATCAAGGCTTGACACACCATCACATCGACCCTCCCCCATTTGTTGAGACTCTTCTCATGTGGATTGTTGGGATGTTCTTGAGTTTCGGAATAGACATAGGTTGCTGTGGGATTGTTGGTCTCGTCTACTTCAGTAAACGCAATGGTGTTTCGCACGTCGCTTCTAGCCATCTTGAAGGCTCTGGCTCTATGATAGAGGTTTCATGTGCCACAGTAGATCGTCTAGAGATCAAGCTGCACTGCGTAGTGAACAAAACCTTCGAATTACAGCTTTTGCTTGCAGACTGTAGTTGAGAGTTGTAGCGCTGATACGTTGACACGCCAAAGGTCGACCGATAAGCTACAGCGAATCAGGACACGTGAGACGAACAATGGAAATAGGTTATGCGAGGAATCATACTCAAGACACAGTGCAAAGCATTTCAAAGCGCACTTTTCGTGTCTATGTATGCTTCTCAATTTACAGATCCACAGGAAAGGTAGCCCATAGGTGATTGGTGTTCAGAAATGCATCGTAGTTTCATCGTTGAGACTCCTGTTGTCAACAATAACCAGCGAGAGGAAGCCGAACCTCTCGACGAAAATCAGTCTAACCATACCAGCAGACTTTTATAGTAATATGTACAGATGTTTCTAGACCCTGACATTCCACAGTCAAACATCAAAAGAAAACCCATGGTGTTGAACGCGCCCGAAAACAGACCCAACTTGTAACCGCTAAGTGCGATGACTTGCAAACCACCAGCGCCTTCTAAAGGAATTGACGAATAAAATCGTGTAAAAGAAGAAAAGGAGAGAAATAGTCGGAGATAGGCGGCTAGGTACAGCCGTTGACGGAGGTGACAGTCGTCGTTTGTTGGACGTCTTGTCACCAGCACGGGGGTGAAGTGTTGCTGGTCAAGGTACGGTACATTGGACGTACCAATACCACGGCTCTTGTTGAAGCCATAAGTAACAGCAAGACGACTATCATCCCCCATGACCTCCGATCAGCCAATGGTGACCACTTCCTCCGTCCTGACGTGTCATTGACTGAGTCACTTTGCGATCGTCGACATGAGCTTCCACATCAATCGTGTCATCCCTCATATACGCGTCCACGCGTGTTGTTTAAGCATAAAGGCTCGCACCGCCAGTCTCAATGGCCTCAATCTCAGCTTCAGTCCATGGGAGACGGTGGAATCTGGCGGGAAGCTCAGCACGATCGAAGAATTCGCCTTGGTTGGGCTGAACAGGGCCGAGAGAAGCTCCAGCTGAGCGGCCGACGGATCCCTGAGAGAAAGAAGCGCGACCGAGAGGGCCGTGCTGCTGAGCCTTGGAGCGGTAGGCAGCGAAAGAGTCGGGAAGAACGCCCGAGGGAGAAGCAGGGTGAGGGCGAGGAGTGTGATCAATGGATTCTGAGTAGGAGCGAAAACAGCATGGTTAGTTTACTGAATAAATAGATTACCAGGAGCTGACTCTAGATAATACGTACGAGGCACAGAACGCCGACCGACAAAGCGGATCAGGGGAGTCCGAGCGACGCTTCGCAGAGCAACAGTGGCACGCATTTTGAAATGAGTCGAAGCTGTTATGTAGGAAGAATCGAGAGAATCGAAAGGAGAAATGGTGCAGTAGAGAAAGTAGGTTGAGAAGATTATCAATCGAGGAGAATGGCGTGAGAAATTGAACAGATCCGGTACTGTCCGATCCGCCCGAGGTAGCCTTTTTCAGTATAGCAAGATTTTGATGATTGCTAGCAGACCAACTACCCAGCCTGGTGTCAAGTGAAGGTGTAGGGAAATTATACAAAGTAAGAGAACTGGATATTAAAGAGACTGAGAGGTTGGAAAGACTGAAGAGGGAACAATGAGTGGGAATCTAAGTTAAAATAAGAGGAGGAGGAGGGGAGGAGGAAGCGAGGGTGGGTTTCACATTATTCTGATAAGGTGATGGTGGTGGTGTGGTTAGCTTAACTCTCCTCCCAAGCACGGCGGGAGTGTCCCTCTCCACCGGCCTTTCGCGTCCAGCGGGAAAAAGAGAGAATTCAGACCATCCTTTCCTGAAAGTTTGATGAAGATACCAGATCCAGTAATTTTTACTATTGTATAGTCTTCTGTTTTCAATCTGTGTTACCTACAAAATCTATGTACTTGAATGACTTCCTCCGCACTCATGCAAGGGTCCCTCGGAATTTGTGGAGGAGGAATCTTACGCCATTCTCAGTAATCTTTCCTCTGCTGATCTCTGATTGGAAAGGAACGCCGGGAGACCACATTTAGGCTGCAGTTGCATAGGTAGACTTGGTCGAGGATGGATAATTGAGGGGATCACCCCATGTCGGCATCAGCGTCAGATCATCCTAACTCCGTAGTCTGTACTCCGCTCGGATTACGAGTTAAACTTGCATAGTAATGTATCTATCTACGGAGTAGATAATTACTACTACCGATATGGGAATTGAACCGCCCATATCTTCCCCAGATCCTTACTCAACCCGCATTCTCGGTGAGCCTATTCTTCATTCTCATGCCTTATGCATTGCTCCTCAATACGCTTTCCCCTCACCTCGGAGACCGAACATAGGGATGATCTACTATGGGGTTGCAACGTATCACATCAAAAGTACGAAACCGCTGCAGAGACTAGGGTCATATTCTCAAATCATACCACCGTCCATCTCAGTCCGTCTCAGGTAGACAAGTCACCGAAAGCATCAGAGAGTTAGAGACATGTGTTCATCGTCCAGTTGTCACCGAAACATGTGAGAAGCTACGTCCAAGTATCATCATCCACCAAAGTACCTCCTCAAAGCCAAGAACGGTATCAGTCTTAGCCTAAAATTATCAAACACTTTTACCACATCACCTCCCTGATAGCCGGAAACTTAGTTAATCCGCGCGCCGTTGACCTGTTCACAGTTCTTACTGGACGATCAGCCTACAAACTCACCATGTCCGTAAACCTTGTCACGACCCTCAGTCCGAATTTCCCATTCGGTGCATTCCGCCTCCCGCTCTCCGACTTTACCCGTCGCGCTTTTTGAATTTTCGACCGTTCCTAACGCCGACGGATCCGGACTGTCAGGCACCAGTACTGAGTGCCTCAGGCGGCTACTCTGGTCGTCGCCCGTTGTGGTTACCGTGATCAGAGCGTATCAGCAACCAGCGCCTTATATCATTCGACCACCAACCCGACTATACTTCGTCTTCATATGACGCATCATGCATGAGCTGTTGCTTTTCGCCTCGGTACCGGCGCATCAGCATCATGAGTTGCTCCAACAGCTGGCAGGGTTGACTGCCATGCAACCTCAACACCGCCTAGAAAGACGACTGGTCTTCAAAGCATACCGTAAACCCGGACTGGTCAATGTCCGTATAGGTGCCAGTCAGGATCTGCAGGGCGCAGAATTGCAGCGACTGAACAAGATGCTCAATGGTGGCATGTTCTATACCCAGGTCGTTGGCCCTGTTTCCGAGGCTGATTTTGGCGCACCTGCATCGCCGGGCGCCGACCAAGATGCACACATGTCAGGGACGGATGAGAAATCGTCCGTCCGTACGCACTACTATGACTACGAGAGCCAACCCTGGAAATTGGAGTTTAGGGATATCCCCGAGGCAGCGACCCGGTCCGCCGTCACAGCCCGGCTGATGGCCAGTGCTAGTCTGCCTAAAGGCGATATTACAGTCCCCATGAATGCCTGGGGTTACAAGTCAGTCATTATCTCCTTGTTTCAGATCTTAGAAACTATTGATTGACTCTAATATAGCTTTGTCACTGAGTATGCGGTGGAGGGTGATATCTTCATTCATAACGACATTGTCATCTTTTTACATCGCGTCCTACACTACCCCACTGAATCCCAAGAGCCTCGGCGGCAATTGCCAGCTCTAAATGAAATGACACCACTTGACAGAAGTGGAGGTTACGTCCTACAGGCCGCCATCACAGTCCAGGATGGCGGCAATCAGGAGACCATGAAGATTGCCTCTCAGCATCTCTTTGGGCTAAGGGAGCAATTGAAGTCCGCTGTTCGTCTGGAACAAGCAGATCGGTTGTCCTTGGATACTCGAGCCAAGTGATTCATGTCTATGCTTTGATAGTTACACTAGCATTATACCCGGCACTGTCTATTGGCGTTGGATTGAATACTTTCCAGGACTGTGCCATTTTCAAGTAAAAAAGAGATAGCAACGACAATCCGATAAATTTTGAGGCTATATTTTGTTGCTGGTGCCTAATGTCTGTCTACCACTGCCTCAGGCACTTTGAACTTATATAGACCATGTGACTTCGTGAACCTCATTTCGCGTGCGGGCGCGTCAACCTCAACTTGTACCCAATTTTGATATATCTCGGTCAAGTAACGCAACACAATCTGTTCGACCTCTCTAGCTTCGGCATCTCGCTGCATATTACGATTTTCCTGGTTCATCAACCATTTGTCGACCATTCGATGCCGGGTCTCAGTCAGTTCTCCAGCCCATAACCCCGCGGGATCAGATTCTGTCACTTCTTCCTTGTAAATTCAACCATAACCACATCAAGTCGACTTTACATCCGTCAAGATTCTCAGTTGGGCAGTGACACTCAGGATAATGTCCGGGGCAGCCAAAAGAGCCGCCTCGCCAACCAGAGCCATCTCCCCGCCGCCGCTCAAAAGAAAAGTCGAGTCAACAGTCACAAGTAAGTCATCCAAGGTATATCTACAGGGCTGCAATAGCGTCAGCTTACGGACTCAGAGCGCACTGTTGCCTCATTTTTCACACCCACATCTCAGAAGAAGCCTGAGAAGATCACATGGAGGGTCGTCAACAACAGCCTTGTGATCGGAAAGTATACGACCGGTCCAGGTGAACAACCTGCACGAAGAGAAAAGGCCAAAGTGGCCGCCTTCGATCTTGTAAGCTCTGCTGGTTTTACGAGATTCGAAGACAAACTGACGACACACGACGCAGGACTCCACCTTGGTCGTAACAGCCTCCGGCAACACCTTTCCCCGGGACTCTGCAGATTGGAAGTGGTTTTCTCCCAATGTACCGACAAGACTCCGGGAACTGAATGCGAATGGGCAGGTAGCATGCCAACTTACGACGGTAATCAAGCTGACCGCAACCCACAGGTACCACGTCGTGATCATGTCCAACCAGAAGAGGATCAGCCTGCAGAAAGACCTGAAGGGCGGCCGAGCCGATTCGAAGAGCTTGACTAACTTCAAGGAAAGGGTGACAGGCGTGATGCGCCAGATCGACATCCCCATCAGCGTCTATGCTGCCACGGCAGACGACGAGAATAGAAAACCGCGAACGGGAATGTGGCGGGAGTTTGTGGAAGACTACGACCTCGATGTCTTTGGCGTCGATCTGTCTGCATCTTTCTACGTGGGTGATGCGGCCGGACGTCCCCGGGATCACTCTATGGTAGACCGGTGAGTTCTCATCCTGCAACAGGTCAAGAAGTTGCCGCTAAACGAATCACGCCGTAGAGGCTTCGCGATGAACGTCGGGATCCCGTTTAAGACACCGGAGGAGTTCTTCCTGAATCAGGCGGCCCAAGATATCCAGGAGCCCTTCAACCCTTCTTCATACCTGAAGCCCGACACCGAGGACGGCGGTTAGTCTCACTTCCGTCCGTTTCCTTAGCTGAATGCATACCAATGACCAACCCGCAGTGCCTGTCCCTTTCGCCCGCCAAAGTCCCCGGGAGCTCGTCATCTTCTGCGGCAGCCCTGGAGCCGGTAAATCTACCTTTTACTGGAATTACCTCGAGCCGCTGGGTTACGAGCGAGTCAACCAGGACACTCTCAAGACGGTACGATTGGTGTACAATCACGGTGAACTTGAAAAAAACGGTACACTGATACTGAATGCCAATAGAGACAGAAATGTATCAAAGTCGCCAAAGAGTTTCTCGCAGCCGGTTCGTCCGTCGTCGTGGGTAGGTTCTATCCCTTTAAAGGTATCTGGCAAGCACCCAGACACACACTGCTGACGCCATGACAGACAACACAAACGCAGACCCCAACACACGCGCCGAATGGGTGCGCGTCGCAAAGGAATTCAACGTCCCCATCCGATGTGTCCACTTCACCAGTCCGCCGGACCTGTGCAAGCACAACAACGCCGTCCGCGCCGCGAATCGATCTTTGGTTCGTCTCTCTTTTGTCTCTAATGTTGAAAACGAGACTGACGGTTTATTCACGTAGAACCCCGAATCCCGCGCGCCACTCCCTGGCATCGCATTCGGCGATTTCCTGAAACGCTTCAAAGAACCCACCATGGAGGAAGGTTTCAGTGATATCGTCCGCGTGGATTTTCGGTTTCAGGGGGACGAAGAGGCAAGACGGATATGGGGACAGTACTGGATTTGATTCTTGCAGATGGCTACTAGCAGCTCATCACTGCCGTCATGTCTGTCTGCTTGCGTGGCTCTACCTTCAGAGGATGACGCTGTCTATCGTGGAGGGGCTTGCCTGCTTATACAGATAGCAGAGGCATATCTTGATCAGCTGTCCGCCCTGCCTCTTAGGCGTGGGTGCACGCTGCTGAGGTAACGACCGACAAATAAAGGGCCCAGCAGTATGATCCAGCGATAAGCAAAGTGTCGACCATCTTCAGAGACGGCACGGCACGCCTGGCTGATATGGACAGCCGGCAGATCGGCGGAGAGGTACTCCGACCTATGATACCCTTTTACTGGCTTCACTAAAGTCGTCTATGGTCTTACAAAGCGAGAGGGGTATCAAAGTAATCTCTATGATTCATTATCGAAATGCTGGCTGGGTATATTGAGTACATATATACATATACACGGCAGACCGTATCATTCATGCTTCTCTCTTTTTTCCTTTTTTTTTGAATAGAGACGGACACACGTCTTCTCAGACACGTCGAAATCAAGATTCGTGTCAGACATCGACTGTGCGTGGTACAGGGAACGGAACGGTCACGATCTGCAGCACTGTTTGCTTCTCATCGCGAACGACCAAACCCCCATACAAAAAGATTTGTCCATCTGTCCTCATTTCATAGAATATTGAACATATGAAAAGAAGTATGTCGAAGGAATGCAATTGCGCTGCGAGTCAGTAGTCGCAGACACATGGAGGTGGTCGTCAAGTCATTAGAAAAAGAGACATTAGTCGTCACACGCTCAAACAGTAACCCCCAGAGGCTCGTTATTACAAGTTGTTGTACATCGAAGACCTCGCGGGAGTGCTCTATCGTCATTAATTGGTGTAGTGGGTGGAATGCACATCAGGATCGCGACACGAGATCCTGGAAGAATTTGAAAAAGTTTCGTTTCAAGGATCGGCCCCGGCAGGCTGTCGGCATACTCGCCGCCGGAGCAATTTTCATGGGACCGACGATCTCGCCATCGCCCAGTTCGGGGAACTTCTCATCGTGGAGCCGAGGAATTTTGACTGGCTCGCAGGGGTTGCCTTGCGACTGGATGATGCCCATCAGCAAGCCGTCGGTCGCGTCCAGTTGGGACAGCATCTCGTCGTAGGTGCGCTTCCATTCACTGTTGATCGCGTCCCACTTGGCCTCGGTCAGTTTGTAGATGGTGGAGGTCACACCGTAGTGCTCACCGGTCCGAACCAGGTGCTTGGTGAAGTTGCACTGTGCTTGATCCCAGTGTTCGCGTAATTGCCGGAACGAGCTCAGATCGTAGACTTCAGGCACGTAAGGTTCGGGCTGGACGGTGAAATTGGCATGGCCAAGCTGGGTCGCCCACTCGTCGTTCGGATCGGTCAACGAGAAGGATGGGCCCTCTCCCGACACTGTCCGCACGGTGCTGGCGCGTGGACGATTGAAAGACGCGACCGACGGCTTGGATGACAGCGGAGGCGACGGAATGCTTGCCAGACGAGGATCTGCAAACGTCATGCTGTTGTCCAGGCACTCCTCGGAGACGTCGGCGACCGACGGTGACTGCAGAGGCGACTGAACTCTAGAGGCAGTAACACTCAGTGGCTCGTCCCCCATGAAGGGAGGAAGCAGAGGAGTGGTGGCTTGCGGGGCGTCCGAGTCATCCTGGCACTGGCTGTTCGCTTTGGCAATGTCGATGGGTTGTACTCCCGACTCGCTCATGCGCTCCTCAAAGATGGTCCTTGCAGGCGAAGGCGGAATCGCGATGGAGTCGACTCGACTTACAGTCGGGCTGGCACGGATAGACGAGGCGGAGTTTGTCCGGGACCGTAGACTGGATCCGACGGGGTCCACGGCATCAGGACCGTCCGACATGCGATTCGGCCTCCAGCGGTTGGATATGGTGGAAATGCGAGAACTAATGCGCGACAGGCCTTTACCGGAGAGACTGCCGGCGCGTCGTTTCTTAGGGGAATGAGGGGTGTCCATTCCGGCATCGTTCAAATCGTAACTATCAGAGTAATCGACTGAGGGTCGAAAGTACGCATCGTCCACAACAGACATGCCTTGGTCAAAATGTTCTGCAGACAATTCATCAGTATGCAGAGCAGAGCAAGCATTTGGTGGGAGGGAAGGACGTACGGAAATATTCCTCCTCAAGATCCCTGGCTTGGCAGGGTTCCTCCTTCACTCCTGTCAGGGCATTTCTTGAGCTCTCCGTGGAATTTCCCTGACCAGGGGACGAGACCAGGGAGGAAACGGAGCTGGAGACACGCGTATGACCTTTGGAGAAGAGCGAGACCACGGGCGAGACCGGGGTTGAGAGATCGGCCGTCAACGGGGATTGAGGGGGTTGACGGGACAATGGCGAGATGTCTGCATTTGTATCGGAGCTGTTACGCCCTTTGGCGTCTAGTAATTGCGAGAGTTTTAGCATGGTGGACAAGCACAGGGGTTGTCCGTGTGGTGGTGGGTTGATTGTTCGACTGCAACTGGGGTCTCGTGGGTGCAATTTTCACATGCGCATGCGCGGTTCAGAAGCGGAGGATCGAAGCAGGAGACAGAGACATGATCTGATGAGGGTTGCTGCTTGCTTGTCGGTCTGTATTTAATAAAATGAAAGCAGCAGAAGAGAAGAGAGAAAATAGGCAAGAGCCCTTATTTCAAACAGGGGATCGATGAGTTGGGAGCAGGAAGTAGACGTGGCGTGGCGGTCAACCAGAGGGAAAGAAGAGGTCGCGATGGATGAGTCAAGAGGAGGAAAGAGTTGGACGGGCGAGGGAAACCAGTTCGCCGAAAGATAGATGATTGAGATAATTGCTTTTTGCTTCCGATTGCAGAGACGTGATTGATTGAAGAACAGCGACGAAGGGAATTTTGGGCCTGAAGGCGACGAACAGGCGGTAGGGCCGACAGCAGATGCAGACGTGGAGCAGATGAGTGGGAAGAAGACAGACCGAGGAGGAAGAGGGATGACAGCTCAGTGGAGGATGAGGGAGAGGATGCAGTTCCTCAATCCAGCACGCAAGCTAGCGACCAAACAATCAATCAATCATTCACAACCACAAGGATCGGGAGAAAACGCGGTGACAGGTGCGAGTGTGACTGTCGACAAGAAGGAAGAGGAGGAGGAGAGGACAAGACGAGGATAGGATATCTACAAACCGATGGAATGGAAATGTCTGTGATACTCCTAATACGAAGAACAAGCAAAGAGAGGCGAAATGGAAGGAATTTTCATTCTTTTCTTAGCAGATGCGAGTATTAATTGAACCACCAGGATCAATTCTCCAAGACTCAATCGAATTAGTCGACCATCTCCAATTCTCCATGTCCATGTCCATTTTTCTTTAGAACCAGGCCCAGACAAAAAAGCAAGGCGAAAAAAAAAAAAAGAGAGAAAAATAGTGGCACTTGCGAATCAGAACACAGCAGATGCTGGAAAAGTAAAGGCCTCCGTGCGTTCCGCTGTGCGTGAGCCATGGAACCCGGTTTGCGTGAGGGCTCTGCTCGCCAGTTGCCACGGTTTGCTTTGGGCTTCTCCCGTCCACTGAGTTTCTTCTAGAAGGATAGTGCTACTACTGTTGTCCGTTCCGTGCAATAACGTCCTTGATGAATTGGTATCATTAGACTCACAATGTCTCATAATTTTGCAAGTCTAAAGAAGAATAAGAATATCTAATTATGCAGCTGACCTGATTCATCATTCAACTGTCAGACAGAAACCGTTGCTGATATCTTATTCCTGCTAGTTTAGTGCTTGACGTATTACCAATCAACTGTCCGCTAATCCTGGTGCGAGATCGGAGTCCGCCGCTTAGGGATAACCCACTTTGACCCCGAACAAGCAAAGAGCAGCGTCTTCTAGACTCTGATGGACTTGATAGACGAGAGCCTTTATCGTCATAGCCCTATTTTTATTATCATCAGAATACTAACCGATCACTAGAGAGGCAGATAGACTCGCACTAAGGAAGGTTGAGCTTCAACTGTCGTGCAACAGGGTCCGGACCTCTCTGTGCACTCACTATCTACTGCATTGGATAACTCTACCTGAGCAGTGAAGCCACTGATGAGTTCGCATACCTTATGTTATGTATATGTATCATGTACATGTATGGGGTGATAATATGATACCTACATGTACAAGTAAAAAGTACTGGACAGTTGACCCGTTAAATTGCGTTCTCTTTTCTACACTGGACACAGTACAGCCTATTAAGACAAAAGCCCTGGTGCCGCCGTCAGGTCCACATGGCCATCCATTGGGTACGACCTCATGGCTGAGAAGGACCCAGATTTTGACGTAAGTATGACCTCGTATGATTCCATGGTTTTCGCCGTGGATTCCATGAATACTAATAAGAATAAGTATTCCTTGGCAACATTCTGATTCTCCTTTTCCTCGGCAGAATACGAGAGGTAATGATCGGTTAATTAATACAGCGACTGTGATCGCGATGGCATCACACTACTACTCTAATCTAGAGAGGTATCTATCAATGAATCGGAAACTGATACATTGATCCAGATCCTAGGCATATCTACTCCATACGGAGTACAGTGGCTATCCATTAGCCACACTGCATGTGTCTAGTGTATGCATCAATTCGATCTATCTATATCAACAGCCAAGGGATCTCTATGACTCCTCATAGCCACATCGATCAATGGAGGGATCAAATAAGTTCATTACTCCATTTTGGACACGGAGCACACCATTTCGTAGTCATAGCAAAGGCGGATGGATAAACCTTGAACAGTCACAAACCACGTGACCTACTATCACTGCGTCACCAGCCGGCCCTCTCCTATCAAGGAATATACCGTGGTTTACCCTTGCGAGTCCATCAACTTTGTCAGTAAATTTCGCCGACGCCTCAAACTCTATCCCAATCCCAATCCTCTGGGTCGCATCTATTCTTGAGATGAAACCCTTGTCGTCTCTCCTGCTCAGCGCCGCCCTCTCGGCGGCTGCTCCTCCGCACCCCGCATCTCCGCAAGCGCCTCTAGCAAATATCCCAACGCTCGTGGGTGAGGAGACTCTGACAGAGTTTAGCCAAAACTCTCTGGACGATGTCGTAAATGCCTCGCCTCTACTCTCGTTTCACCGAGACCTCGTCTCAATCGAGTCCATCTCCGGAAACGAGGGCGCAGCCGGCGCCTTTGTGGTTGATTTCCTGGAATCCCACAACTTCACCGTGATCAAGCAGCCCGTCTCCACGGAAGCGGATGCACGCTTCAACATCTTCGCTTTCCCCAAGTCCCATTCCCTGGATGAGTCGCGCCCGAGCCAGGGGCCCCAGATCCTCCTCACCAGCCACCTCGACACCGTGCCCCCCTTCATCCCATACTCGCTGCACCGCGATGCCAACGACACCGACGACAGAAACATCCTCATCGCCGGCCGCGGCACCGTAGACGCCAAAGGCAGCGTTGCGGCCCAGATCTTTGCCGTCCTCGACACCCTCGCCGCCCAGCCCGCCGCGCCCCTGGGCCTCCTCTTCGTCGTCGGCGAGGAAACCGGCGGCGACGGCATGAAGGCCTTCTCGGCGTCGCCGCGCCTCAACCCCTCCCCGAGCCCCTTCCACACCGTCATCTTCGGCGAACCAACCGAGCTGGCCCTCGTCGCCGGCCACAAGGGCATGCTGGGCTTCGAAGTCGCCGCACACGGCCACGCCGCCCACTCCGGCTATCCCTGGCTGGGCGAGAGTGCCATCTCCGCCATCCTGCCGGCGCTGGCGCGCGTGGATCAACTGGGAGATATCCCCGCCGACGAGGGCGGCCTGCCCGCCAGCGACAAGTACGGTCGCACGACGGTCAACATCGGGCGGATGGAGGGCGGCGTTGCAACGAACGTGGTGCCAAGCGAGGCGCGCGCGGGCGTCGCCGTGCGGCTGGCGGCGGGGACGGACGACGAGGCGCGCGAGATCGTGCTCAAGGCCGTCCGGGACGCGACGGGCGGCGACGACCGGGTGGTCGTCAACTTTCGCCTGGAGGGGTATGGCCCGCAGGATTTGGATACCGATGTTCTGGGGTTCAACGTCACCACCGTCAACTACGGGACCGACGTACCCAACCTGCAGCTCCATGACCGTCCGGACGGCAAGGTCAAGCGGTACCTGTACGGGCCGGGAAGTATCCACGTTGCGCACGGCGATAACGAAGCATTGACCGTCGCGCAGCTCGAGGAGGCCGTGCGCGGGTATAAGAAACTGATCCAGGCGGCGCTGGACCGGTCGACCTCGTAGTTTTAGAAAGTAATACTGGAAAACAGCATCGTTACTGCATATTGCTATTATCGAAACACATCCGGGGAATGTATATATGTACAGCAATCTAGATTTTCCTCGCACTAAACCCCTCTAGCGAGGCTTCCGCGTCCACCCCGTCTTCAAATCACCCGTAGGCTGAAACCGCGGCAGCGGATGGGCTTCCGTGTTGAATACATGGTCCTCCAGAGAGATAAAGTCCCGCTCGGAAAAGAGCAAGTAGAAATACTTGAGAGTCTCTGCCATCCAGAAACTCTCCATGTTGTCCCGGGTTACGGGGGGCACGGTGTTGGCGTTGCTCAGCGACGTGAATCCCGTAATCCGCGAGGGACGCGCGACTTTCTCGGCTTGCGCTCCGGCAGCTGCAGCATCAGCATCAGCAGGGACATCGGCCTCGTGTGACGGGTCATGTTCGACTATCGCCGTGTGGCGGACAAAGGACTTGAACATCTCCCATCCCCACTGGCGATACATCTCGTCCCCTGTCACGCGGTACATATAAAACAGCGATTCGACCGTCTCCGGCCGTTGGAGGTTGTGGCGGTCCTGGCTCTGAATCTGGATATCCTCCCGCCACTTGAGAGTCTTGTCATCCAGCGGGTAAAGAGGCTGTGACTTCAGAGGCACGTCCTCCCCCTGGGACTTGCGGTTGCCCGCGGTCATCGTCGAGTCCGGGTACATGTCGTGGAACATCTTCGGAGGGTCGTCCAGGGTAAAGTACGTGATTTCCGGAGCCAAACCCGTCTCAGTCGCGAGGTATGTCGCCCAGCATGTCTTCATCAGTTCCCGTGCAAGCAGAATCTCTTCGTCCTGCCGTTGAGTCCAGTCAGGAGACTTCCGGGCTTCGCTCAATGGCACGCCGCCGGTCGCTCCTAGAGCAATAGTTCCCGGCATGAAACAAACCAGGTGGTCCATCTTCGGCGACAGTCTCCCCTGGAGTCCAGACGGCTTCTCCCCCAAGATCATCAGCTGAGCATTCTTAGTGTAAGCAATCAGATGCTTGCGGACGCCCATCAGCGACTCATCCCAGAGCTCTTTATAGATGGGCTCCTGTTTAGATGTTTGCAAATACTGCTTGATGAGATACTCTAAAGCCACTGTTAGTAGGACACCCACTGAGAGACACCTTGGCTCACTCACCGTAATAAGAATCGCCCCGACTTCCCAGGCGGATGTTGTCTCCCCTGAAATGCCCAGAGTCTGGATAGATGTAGATCGGGAGCAGGCCGTCTTCCATCTTCTGGTCGTCAACCACTTGCATCACCTTCTCCACCACCCGCCAGTACTCCGCTTCTCCCGTCAGCTTGGCCAAGTACTTGAACTCGAGTTGAACAGTGGTAGCCTCCGCCGTAGATGAAGCCCCATTGTCTGCATGCGATGGAATACCAGTCGAGGTATTCAGATTGATGCTGGCATATGGCACTCCAGACTTAGAGTCGAAAGCACCCAGCAGTCTATCCGCCAAGTCGGTCGCCTTCTCGATATACAGATCCTCTCCTGGTGAGCCCGCGTCGTCGTCGGCGATTGGCGCAAGTCCGGGATGGGCGGTGGAAAGATAATGCGCCGACAGTAGGCCACCCAACATCCGGATGGTCGTCTCGAACGTGTTGACGTCGTGGTCTTGGTTGTAGTGTAGCGAGTTGTGGATCCAGTTGCGCGCGTGTTGAACTCGCGATGTCAGATTCATGATCATGAGTGTATCGAGGGCGTCAACGATGATCCAGCCCATCCCTCCCGGCACCATCTGTCTTCCTTCTTTCGCGATCGGTTTATACTCGTCATATCCTAGCCATAAAATCATCAGCGTATCCCCCATAAAATCAATTGAAACAGAAACATACCCCATCCATGCTGCTCATAACCATCCCAGCTAATAATGAAAGCATCCCTGACCTTTTCCCTTCGCGCATTCCAATCGATATTCTGATGCTGACCACCTTCAATGTCAGTCGCGGGATCCCCAAGACTCTGTAGCCACTTCCACATCTCCTCGCCCTTGGGCGTGTCAGGCGTGTCTAACCCATGCGTCTGCCGCTTATAGGACCCCGCCGTGTAATACCACAGGCAGACCAACACGAACACACACAATCCGCCATACAGGATCTTCCTCCGCCTACTCCTCACCGCTGTACGCCGCGGCGCAAAGTACGGCTTATCCTTGTACATCGGGAGCGAGCGACCGCCGTCGAAGAAGTTGCCGAGTTTGTTCGCTACTCCCGTCGACTGTTGCGATAGCCCATATCCGCCCAGAGGGCTGGCATTGGGATTGCGATTCGCACGCCAGTGGCTTTCACTATGGAGTCGCTGAGCTGGAGGGCTCGACATGGCGCTACGGGCTATTGTTGCGCTATGTTTGTCTCCGATCTCTCAGGGTTGACCCAGCTGCCGAGAGACCTACTATGAAGAGGGACTAGTGGGTTTGCATAGGGTAATTCAATGCGCAATCCGACTGTTATCAGGATGCCCGATTCGCAAATACTGGTGATTAATCTAAGGAGAGCCAAAGTATTAGCAATCTTCGGATTCAACAGTCTTAAGCTTGGTGATTTAAGCTCGCCAACTTCTCCGTCCCGCAGCCCAAACAATCAGTATGCGTGGTCCGAACAAGATTGCCCACGGAATAATCAATGCTGCTTCTAGAACAAGCGGAAGTACTTACCAGGTCGTCCAGCGTCCCTTCCACCTAGCCTCCGAGGCGTGTCTCTCAGTTAAGTAGTTGGACGGTGGAATGGTAGGTGTGGCCACTTCTTGTTGCAACTTGGCCGATCTGTTGATCTAAGTCTTAACGGGCGGAGTTTCTTTTGGGGAAGCAAGCGTCTTGGCACCAACTCTTGCTGCTCCATGCTTGGGGAATCTGGGCAACTCCCTAGGCAATGGCAGGTCTTCAATCCTCTTGCTGCACTCTGGCAGCATGAGACCGTGATGAGCCAGTTCATCCCAACACTATAGGTTACGCGGGCGCAAAGATCAGGCCTCAGGGTCCGGCTTCGGCTCAAGCATGCGGGGAAACTGGGAGGCCCCTCTGATGAAACTACATGATAGATAGATATATACTATACAAAACATTAATCGATTATTGTCTACTGATCCCAAAAAGACCGGCAGATATCAAGGCAAGTCATGAAGGCCGGATTAATGCTCTTCAATATTGTGGTAGATTCTGTCTCATTTCGAGGTGGCCATTCAAGGAATGGGGTCGTGCATAAAAGTAATCAGGGTGTGAAACTACAGTTTCTGGTATTCAAGCTTGCCTTCCAGCTTCTTGGCCTCTGCGACCTTGCGAACCGCCTTGTTAAAGTCGTCCTGACTGATGGCGTCCCGATAATCCTTGATGGCAAAAAGTCCACTATGCAACGTCAGCAATTTACTCATGCCAATGAAGGGGTCAGAAAAGGTGAGCATACGCTTCCGTAACCACGTTCCGCAGATCGGCACCGTTGAGACCATCGCTCATCTTTACAACGCTTTCGAAATCAATCTCGCCCTCCAGCTGGACGGTGCTAGAGTGAATCTTCAGGATCTCCAGACGGCCAACCTCGTTGGGAAGGGGGATTTCGATCTTCCGGTCCAGACGACCGGCACGGAGCAGAGCAGGGTCAAGGGTATCTGGTCGGTTGGTCGCCATGATGATTTTCGTCTTTCCAAGGTAGTCGAAACCATCCAGCTGATTCAGAAGTTCCATCAATGTTCTCTGAATTTCTCTGTCGGCCGAGGTACCCTCAGAGAAACGCCTGCCACCGATAGCATCAATTTCGTCCATGAAGATGATACAGGGCTCGTGTTCCTTTGCATAACCGAACATCTCTCTTATTAACCGCGCAGATTCACCAATGTATTTGTCGACGATCGCGGACGAAACCACTATAACAAGATCAGTAGCTGCGGCAAGAAGGGGACAGCAGAAATATGCCTACCCTTCAGAAAATTGGTTTCCATCGAACTCGCCACGGCTCGTGCCAGCAATGTCTTTCCGGTACCGGGAGGTCCATAGAGTAATACACCCTTGGGCGGCTTGATACCAACCCTCTGAAACAGTTCAGGGTTCTTTAATGGCAACTCGATCACTTCTCGAAGTTCTCTGATTTGATCGTTCAGACCACCAATACCCGCGAAGTTGATTTGACCAGGGTCCTCCAACGACATGTTGTACACCATCGGGTCGACTTCACGCGGGAGCATCCGCATAATCGTGAGTGTTGTCATGTCCAGGGCAACACGAGTGCCCTGTTTCAGTTTCGATTTATCGACCTTGGAGCGGCAGCCGACAACATATCGGGGACCGGATGACGCCTTAACAATGACTATCTCAGTTATCCAAAGTTAGCTATCGTATCATCGTATTGAACTTTCCATCGTGTTATAGACGATCAAGTTCATGCGCATTTGGATAGATAGGAGTTATGAAAATGGCATACATCGCTCCTCATCCAGCTGTTTCAACACTTCGCCAATGATCTGACCGACACTCTGCAAGGCCTTGATGTTCTCTTCGGAGATATCAAACTCTCTCTGCAGGTCCTTGATGCCCATCCGCAGAGACTTGAGCTTAGCTTCCCATTCTCGAAGCTCTAGTAAGCTCTTCTTGTAATCTTCGAGCGCCTGCTCTCTCTCAGGGTCGCTTGCGCCGTTCATCGTTGTAAGGGTGAAGTCCGGAGGGTAGAACTTCAGACAGGTTTGGATGAATTGGAAGAACGACGTAGAAGCTGAAAAAAGGGTTGATTTGCAGTGTTGCGATACAATGTGTACAAAAAGAAGGGTGATGATTATGGGTATCCGACCTCGCTACTCCAGCTTGGTAGAGCTGTTGAGAGCTTACGGAGCAACCGCTCATAGATCACATGATCTAGATGTACAGTCTCGTTATCACGTGATATTCCAAGGCCACAAGGCCACAAGGCATCAAGGAATAAAGGCATGAAGGTGTCTGTGTCATGACCTTGTGCCATTACGCAATCACCACGGATGGAAGTTTCCAGACAACCTAGCAAGATGCCTGGAGTGCTAGGTAGTATTTTCTCTCGGTACGCCTTTGACCAGGGACTATGCTACTTTGTCTGTTTATTCATTATTGACCGCTGAGATGCAACGCGCGGCAGTAATATAGGCATTGGATAGCTAACAACCTCTCTTCCACGATTGAGTTTGGCGCGTATAGATTGAATGCATATAGAGAGCTATGTAGAGAGGTAAATGTATGTAATAGAGTATCTTCAATCTAATCTCTTCAGCAGTAGCGCATACCCTTCATAGTTATCCAAACTTGTCAAGTGAGAAGATACAGTTCTCCATATCCAGTAGATCACTATGACTCTGCTGCTCTCATTCGCAGGTCTAAAACATGAGCATCGCCGTCTCTATCCTCACCCGCCTTGCCCCGAGGGAAAGCGGAAGATCTCGCTGCAGAGTTACAATTGAAACGGTGCAAAGGAGAAGCCTCAGCCAGCGAGAGAAGCAGATCGGTTCGCTGCCCCACCGTCATGTTGGGAAGATTCGGAGCTTCCATCATGAGCTTTACCCGGGGGACAATCATTGGCAAACTACAAGAAGACGAGGATTTCAGCTTAAAGACGATCGATTGTCTTTTTGATCTTTCTTTTCATTTGCTGCACTTGAACCCCCGTTATCCTCAGGTCCTCTCTACTGCTTGAAATGTAAGTAAAGTTTAGGCCTGGCTCTCCCCCTCTGAGATCATTAACATCTATCTACCCCACCATTCCACATCTGTGCTGTTGACCCCTCCAACGCCCTTCTTCATCACTAAGAGAAATTGGGCCTTCCACGTCAAGTCTATTCATATTGGAATTTATCACTTGAGTCTTCTGCCCCTGTTAGTTTGTCCCGTTGAGTCACCGTGATTGTGGTTTGCAATTGATTGGATCAGCATCACTTGCCTCTCATACCGACTCTCCCATCCACTCATCATTTTGGGTCATCGGTGAAGAGCAACCCCCCGCTGCTAGTCACACACCCAACACACCGTAACTGGCTTTTCCTCTCTATATCAGCTGTCCAGCCCTCTTTCACTTCCTGTGGTCCTTTTTTCTCTCTCGATTTCCATCCAACTGACCTCTTCATCAGCTCGTCAGAATGCCTATCACCAAGATCCACGCTCGTTCCGTGTACGACTCTCGCGGTAACCCCACCGTTGAGGTGGACGTTGTCACTGAGACTGGTCTGCACCGCGCTATTGTTCCTTCCGGAGCTTCTACTGGTTCGTTCTCTTGAAATTAAGTGTCATTAAAACCCTCGAATGCTGACGAAGAGACAGGCCAGCACGAGGCTCACGAGCTCCGTGACGGTGACAAGACCCACTGGGGCGGCAAGGGTAAGTTTGGATCTACTTGGTAATGATATTCGTGCTCAAAGAATGTCTCGCTGATGCCAATGTGATCTACAGGTGTCCTCAAGGCCGTCAAGAATGTCAACGAGACCATTGGCCCTGCTCTCATCAAGGAGAACATCGATGTGAAGGACCAGTCCAAGGTTGACGAGTTCCTTAACAAGCTTGACGGAACTGCCAACAAGTCCAATCTCGGTGCTAACGCCATCCTCGGCGTCAGCTTGGCTGTTGCTAAGGCTGGTGCTGCTGAGAAGGGTGTCCCTCTCTACGCTCACATCTCCGACCTCGCCGGTACCAAGAAGCCCTATGTCCTTCCCGTTCCCTTCCAGAACGTCCTGAACGGTGGTTCTCACGCCGGTGGCCGTCTCGCTTTCCAGGAGTTCATGATCGTTCCTGAGTAAGTCTGCCCCAGATGGATTGGCTTCCTTTGATCAATTCCTGATTGTGATCAATAGCTCCGCCCCCTCTTTCTCTGAGGCCCTCCGCCAGGGTGCCGAGGTCTACCAGAAGCTGAAGGCTCTGGCCAAGAAGAAGTACGGCCAGTCCGCTGGCAACGTCGGTGACGAGGGTGGTGTTGCTCCCGATATTCAGACCGCTGAGGAGGCCCTCGACCTGATCACCGAGGCCATCGAACAGGCCGGCTACACCGGCAAGATCAAGATCGCCATGGACGTCGCCTCCAGCGAGTTCTACAAGGCCGACGTCAAGAAGTACGACCTTGACTTCAAGAACCCCGAGAGTGACTCCTCCAAGTGGCTCACTTACGAGCAGCTTGCCGACCTGTACAAGTCCCTTGCTGCCAAGTACCCCATTGTCAGCATTGAGGACCCCTTCGCTGAAGATGACTGGGAGGCCTGGAGCTACTTCTACAAGACCTCCGACTTCCAGATTGTCGGTGATGACCTGACTGTTACCAACCCCGAGCGTATCAAGAAGGCCATCGAGCTCAAGTCCTGCAACGCCCTCCTGCTCAAGGTCAACCAGATCGGTACCCTCACCGAGTCCATCCAGGCTGCCAAGGACTCCTACGCCGACAACTGGGGTGTCATGGTCTCCCACCGCTCCGGTGAGACCGAGGACGTCACTATTGCCGACATTGCCGTCGGTCTGCGTTCTGGCCAGATCAAGACCGGCGCTCCTGCCCGTTCCGAGCGTCTGGCTAAGCTGAACCAGATCCTCCGTATCGAGGAGGAGCTCGGTGAGAACGCCGTCTACGCTGGTTCCAAGTTCCGCACTGCCGTCAACCTGTAAATGCAGCCGCGGACCCTATAATCTACACCTAAAAAAGGTTCTCAACCCAATCGGACACGGCTTCAAAAAATGACGATTGGACTCAGACCCCTTGCGGGCTTCGAAAAATGACAGCATAGGCAGGCTGAACAAGAGATGCCAGCCCGTCCCGATGCTGTTCGATAAAGAGTTATGATGATGATATGATCAGCCAAATACACTATATAGTGGCTTAATGAAAAATGCATCCAACTTAATACGTCTGCAGTAAAGCATTTGTCCACGTAAGAACGTAGCGCAAGCGTTGCAATGGGCTCTAGCAATGTCCAAGGCCGCAAAGATTGCAAAGATTAGCAAGGTACTAGGGCACTCAGATCAATGTATCGGGCATCAATGGTAGAGTATCACGTGATTATTCACATGCCCCACTACAAGATTCCATTGTGAAGTTGTTGCGGCGGCAGCGAGATTCTGTCTGTGTCCATTCAGAAAATTCATCGTCGGTCTTCGCCACGACAGTCTACCTCGTTCGAAGACGGTAGATCCTGCTGAATCACCTCCTCGGCATCGACTCAGCAAGTCTCGAACGTTGTCCCATCAGTCAAATAAATTTTTTTGACGATTTCTGCCCGCCATGGCGCCTTCAAAGTGGGGTAAGTGCTATCTTGAAATCTGCAAGCCTACATATCGCAATCCCGGGTTCTTGCAGATAGGGAGATTTTATCTTGATAACCTGAAAAAGATGCTGATCTTGAGTTATTAGACGATGAGGAAGATAGCAGCTCTCCCCCTCCTCCTCCGGTAGTGGCCAGACGCAAGTTCGACGATGAGGAGGAAGACGATGTGAGCTTACTCCGTGATCTATACACCTTGCTTTCTAGTTCAAGCCAACTAACGCTCTGTGACTACAAAAGGTCCTCGACTCGTGGGACGCTGCCGAAGACTCGGAAGTAGAGCGGGAAAAGGCTGCAAAGGCTGCTGCGGCGGCAGCCAAGGCCGAAGCCGAGGCGGCCGCGAAGAAGAAGAGCAAGGCACAGCGGATAGAAGAGCACAAGGAGGAGCGACGGAAACTCGCCGAGGCGAACCAGAGCGAGGACGACAGCGACGAGGACGAGGCGGAGAGGCGGGCCCGCCTGCGCCGCACGGAGCAGGAGGGTGACCTTAAGCACGCGCAGGACCTGTTTGACGAGATCGATCTGAACCGCAACCGGGGGGCGCCCAAGGCGATCGTCATCAGCGACTCGGCGGATCCCACGCAGGCCGTCGACCTCTCCGCCATGCCGCTGTTCAAGCCCACGACCAAGGACCAGTTCACCCGGCTGACCACCGCACTGATCCCGCTGCTGACGGCGCACTCGAAGAAGCCTCACTACGCCCTGTGGGCGCAGGAGTTCACCAAGCAGCTTGTCAAGGAGCTCAACAGCGGTGATGTCAAGAAGATTGCCAGTGCCCTTACCACTATCAGCAACGAGAAGATGAGGGAGGAGCGTGCCGCCGACAAAGGCAACAAGAAGTCCAAGGCGGCCAAGACCAAGGTCTCTCTTGTTGCTAGCAGAGACAACAAGATTGATGCCACACCTTATGATGATGATGGACTGGACGATGACGACTTCATGTGATTGAGGATAAGAAAATCTAGGGTTACACATGTTTGGAAAGGGAGGACGCTCTTCTTCCTTGTCCCCATATATCCTCCAAATGACGCTTCGCTTTTGTCCATACTGTTAATTGAAGCAGTGATTTCTTACCTCCCATTCTTATTTCTTGAGATTTGTATATGCTTACCTATATATCTTGTATCCTGCGCCTCCTGTTCGGGTAATAAACTCTATGTGATTCAACAATAGACTACATTGCATGCCTCTTGACGCTATTTCTATAAAAGCTACTCCGAGTTTTCCTTGCAAAGTGATTAAAGTCAGGCTTATGATATCAAAGCCATCTAGCTCGATAGTAAAAGTGTCAGTTTAGATACTTGTAGTCCTTGTGTGAGTCATCACATGATGTCCACCGACAGACCGATGTAGAATGGGGTAGGGTAAGGAGGCACTCCTGTCTTGGGCGAGGAAAGCTTCAGAATTGGACTTCCGGCCCCCTTGCGTGGGGACTCCCATATGTAAAGCTTGGATGGGCACGCATGCACTCCTTTGGTAGGGAAGTAGGCTAGCAGTCGATGGAAGGGCCCTAGGGCGATCATATATGGAGATTGATGAATTATCCGACACCCCCTATATTCCCTTTTTGCTGTCTCGACCTGCCGGTCTTCCCTCTCTCAATATCTGATGCGAAGGAGCGAACTACTTCCATTGGCAGGTACTAATTGGGGGAATAAAAGCTGAGGACAGGGGAGGAAGGGAAGTGGAAACTAGTAAAAGGGGTAAAATGGGAAATAAACGACAATTGTATCTTGCTGGGGTTGGGAATAGAGACAAATAAAAGAGAGATAAATTCCACTCGGCCCCTTTTCCTCCCTCTCCAGATATCATCAAACTCCGCCGGCCCGACCCACACGATCCCGAACAAGTGGAAGATATGTGCCGGCCCAAACCAGTCACGCGGCTAAGAAAAGGACTTGCAGGCACCAATAGACACGCCGAGTGACACAACACGGCTTTTGATACAACAAAGGAAAACCCCGAGAGCCGCCGGTTTAGGACTCGGCAGGAGCAGGCTTAGCCTCCTCAGCCTTTTCCTCAGGAGCGGGAGTGGGTTCCTCCTCGGCCTTGTCCTCCTTGGCTTGGGCACCCTCGGCCTCGTTGCCGTCGGAAGAGGTCCACAGAGTGAGGTTATCACGCAGCAGCTGCATGATCAGGGTGCTGTCACGGTAGCTCTCCTCAGAGAGAGAGTCGAGCTCAGCAATGGCATCGTCGAAAGCCTGCTTGGCAAGGTGGCAGGCACGGTCGGGCGAGTTCAGGATCTCGTAGTAGAAAACGGAGAAGTTCAGAGCGAGACCAAGACGGATGGGGTGGGTAGGGGTGAGGTCGGTCTGGGCAACATCGGTGGCGTTCTACAGGGGGTCAGCCGGTAAGCGAGCGCTCAAGAATATATTGCATGAACTCCGCTCGCGGATCTCATATCGCATACCTTATAAGCCTCATGGGCGGCAGTAGCAGCAACCTTGCGCTTGTTGCCAGAAGCAAATTCAGCGAGGTAACGGTGGTAGTCGCCCTTCCTATAGACAAAACGGTGATTAGCGATCGTATTTTAGACGCTAGAGTCAAAAATCGCTTGCTTACATCTTGTAGTAGAAGACCTTGGACTCGCCAGTTTCGGCCTTGGGGATGAGAGACTCGTCCAGAACGTCGAGGACATCCTGGCAGACCTTCTCCAACTCGGTCTCAATCTTCTGGCGGTAGTCACGGATAATGGTAACGTGCTGCTCGGAGCCCTTGGATTCCTCCTTCTGCTCGATGGAGGAGATGATACGCCAGGAGGCACGGCGGGTACCGACCACGTTCTTGTAGGCAACGGAGAGGAGGTTACGCTCATCGACGGAAAGTTCGCCTCCAATCTTATCCAAGGAGTTAGTGATTGAGAAACAGTGCAACATTGGAGCCTCATTTGTACGTACCTTGGCGACTTCCTGTCCGGCGGTTAGCTGAATCAGTCCACCCATTCCTTACTAGTCAGACAAACAAACGAACCTTCATATAGGTAACCATCTCTGTGAGAAGTGAGCATTAGGTTATTTCATGCCAGAGAATATGATGGGGAAAGACAACTAACCATCGTAGCGCTCGGCCTGCTCGCAGAGCCTTGCGAGGAAAGTCTTGCTGTAGGGAGGGGAAAGACGTCAGCGATCCTGCCATCTGTTTCAAGATTGATAGTCGCCGGAGATTCTTACTTCTCACGCTATACATCAGAAATAGACTGTCAGTAAAACCTTGATCAAAAAGAGGCGAAAGATAAAAAATGAATAGAAATTAGAGTGATGGTGGGGGTGGTGTGTGTGTGTATACACGCCATGGACATTATGACAGCGGTGACATGGTGGACAACAACAGCGAGAGGAGGGGTTAGGCTGGAACAACATAACATAACATACCTCAGAAGTCATGATGAAAGGTTATGGGATAAGGGAGAGGAAAGAAGAAAAGGAGATGTTGGTAACTGTGGAAGAGAGAGTAAGGAGACTAGGTAGATAAGGAAGATGGCTTAGGGAAATGGGTTAGGAGATGGAAGAAGCAAGTAGAGTAGGTAAGTAATCACGACCTGAAGATGTGATCTTCCCAGCAACTGGAAGTAGTTAAGTGATTGGGATGGATCGGTGAGCTGACGGGCCAGCCAGCTTTAGCGAGAGTGAGGCGGTGTGTTTGCCTTGTTTGTTGCTTTGTGCCAGCCTCAGGCATCAAGCTGCCTGCCATTCACCTTTGTGTGTGTCTGTTACACTGAAGGAGTGCTTATCAGCACTTCATATGGAGTCCTTGTTCCGTGGATGGAATAAGCAATTATGGCCATACCACGTACAATGGCTATCCCAACAGTTCCATGTCCCGACGGTGTCAGCGACTCTAGCTTCTGCTGTCTGAAAGTGGCCCTGGAGATTCGAGCTCATATACGATCAAATGGGATGATTTCTACAGGAATTACATCCAAATGGAGGGCCTAAGCTCACAATCTGCAATCCATGTGCTATACAGTACGCGCAAGAATCAATATACAAGCGTTGTAGACTTCAGCGAAGGCAAAGAAGTGAAGGCAAAAGCCCTACATCTGGGGAGCTGTCTCTAGCTAAACTGGTGGTAGATTCTCCGCCAGCCATCTCAAGAAGGATAGTATCCGGCTGCTGTGTATTCCGGTGGAAAGTCTTCGGTGACTTGAGCATAGCAATCCTAGACATGAAGTCGTCAATAAGACATCGTCATGCTATCCAAATCATGATAGACGCTCCTCCATTTCGTCCATGCTGTAGAACGCATCAGATTCATACGTGCGTCGAAAGAAACAACGGACCGGGGTTTCTTAGCATGGGTCCCCTCAAGGCATCATCATTTCTCAGTGGAGCTTGGTCGCTATTATGGATATCGGTGACCTTACAGGTGGTTACAGAAGAGATTTCCACCTTGAACAGTGGGCAACTGTCTAACAAGAGCAGAATCTCCCAACTGTGCTCATCGCCCTTCTTTGTGTAATTGAGCCTTAGTTACCTAGACTTGATTATAGGTAGATAAGACTTGAGAGCTCTCCTTATCAGATCTGAAATTGCGACTTCCATTCAGATCATCGAAGGAAATCACCACTTTAGATCAACAGAATTTTGAGAGATCTTCAACATAAAATACATGGCACCTTAATCTATAGAAACGTTTTGATACGGTTCAGCCCTGTGACCCTCCGGCTTGTCCTTCAGCGTGGGTTACCGGGGTCTGCGGAGATTGAGCAGAACAGTCACCGCCCAAAAAAAGAGAACACGTTTAACAGCCAAACTGCATCATTCTGCCCTCAGCGTCTGGGGCAAAGACCAGCTACGCCTCTACAGGATAGACTTTGAATTTCCTTCTTTTTGGCCCAGAATGTCAGAATAGTCATTTTTCATTCGATAGACCTGTTGGACGATCTTCCCTCTCGTATCGCTCTCTGTGTTGTTGGGTCCTTCTTTCGGATATTTATTGATCGATTTTCCCCCTTCCTTCCTTCTAGATCCTTCCCGATTTTCTATCTAGAGTACTGCTATCCGAGTACTACTTACCTAACCTGGTCTACTACTAGTGGTAACCTTTGTCCATCCGGCCACTTGGCATTCATGTTGCTGACTCGGTAGACCACGTTCTCTCTTTATATTTCTTTCCGTTCATTCTTCCTATTTCTCCCTTCCCTCTCCCTCCCTCATTGGCTTGGTCAGTTGTCCGAGGCGTGATTGACAATGGAGCGGTCTTTTCTCCATTCTCCAGCAGAAGTGCTGGAACGCTTTGGAGTCTCAGAGCGCACTGGTCTGTCTCAGGATCAGGTCTTGAAATCTAGGCAGAAGTATGGTCCAAATGGTCAGCACACCCCCACCTCTACTCTCATCTCATAGCGTGATCCAAGCTGACCGGTGTCGATGGGCAATGAAGCTCTTGCGGAAGATCCACCGACTCCTCTCTGGGAACTTGTACTAGAACAATTCAAGGACCAACTGGTCCTCATCCTCTTGGGTTCTGCTGCCGTGTCCTTTGTGCTGGCTCTTTTCGAGGGAGGTGACGACTGGACGGCCTTTGTTGACCCTGTTGTGGTACGTTCTGCGAAACCCGGTTGTACAAAACGTGATGCTTTTTGAGGAAATTGAACTGATTGAAAACCTGCCAAATTAGATTTTGACCATTCTGATCCTCAATGCTGTGGTTGGTGTCACGCAGGAGAGCAGCGCGGAAAAGGCAATTGCTGCTCTCCAAGAATATTCTGCAAACGAAGCGACAGTGGTTCGTGATGGCAAGACCCAGCGCATTAAGGCGGAAGATCTGGTTCCCGGAGATGTCATCCACATCGGAGTTGGTGACCGCGTTCCGGCCGATTGCAGACTGCTATCTATTCAAAGTAACAGTTTTCGCGTTGACCAAGCGGTCCTGACAGGTGAAAGTGAGAGTGTGTCCAAGGATGCTCGCACCATCAAGGATGAACAGGCCGTCAAGCAAGACCAGACAAATATCCTATTCTCGGGCACATCGGTTGTCAACGGCCATGCTACTGCCATTGTTGTGTTGACTGGTGCATCAACTGCTATTGGTGGCATCCACGAAAGTATCACGTCCCAGATCTCAGAGCCGACGCCGCTTAAGCAGAAACTCAACAATTTTGGCGACATGCTGGCCAAAGTGATCACTGTCATCTGTGTTCTCGTCTGGGTGATTAACGTTGAGCACTTCAACGACCCGGCTCATGGTGGCTGGGCTAAGGGTGCCATTTACTATCTCAAGATTGCGGTCTCTCTGGGCGTGGCCGCCATTCCTGAAGGATTGGCGGTGGTCATCACCACCTGTCTCGCTCTGGGTACGCGCAAGATGGCGGCTAAGAACGCCGTCGTTCGATCTCTGCCGTCCGTCGAAACTTTGGGTAGCTGCAGTGTGATCTGCTCCGATAAAACTGGAACCTTGACTACTAACCAGATGAGCGTGGAAAAGCTTGTCTATCTTAATGCGTCCGGTGACGACCTGGAGGAGGTAGACGTCGAGGGCACAACTTTTGCTCCTGAGGGCAATCTCTCCCGTAATGGGAAGGTATTGCAGAACCTTGCTGTAACCTCGTCTACCGTTCGCCAGATGGCTGAAGTCATGGCACTTTGCAACGGCGCGTCCCTTGCCCATGACCCCAAGAGTGGCACTTTCTCCTGCATCGGTGAACCTACTGAAGGAGCATTGAGGGTATTAGTTGAAAAGATCGGCACTGATGACGTGGCTACCAACGAAAAGGTATTCAGATTGCCGGCTTCTGAGAGACTTCACGTTTCGAGTGCCCACTATGAATCACGCCTACCACTGCAGGCTACGTATGAATTCTCCCGCGACCGCAAGAGTATGTCTGTCCTGGTTACAAAGGACAAGGCTCAGAAGCTTCTGGTCAAGGGCGCCCCTGAATCGATCCTCGAACGCTGCTCGTATGTCCTTTTGGGATCTGATGGGCCCCGTGTCCCTCTCACGAAAGCGCACAGTGATCTTCTTGCTAGGGAAGTTGTCGAATACGGAAACCGTGGTTTGCGTGTCATTGCCCTGGCTAGTGTCGACGATATCGCGGATACCCCCCTTTTGCACAATGCCCAAACTACCGAGGAGTACGCTCAGCTGGAAAGGAACATGACTCTGATTGGCCTCGTTGGAATGCTGGACCCTCCACGCACCGAGGTCGCTGACTCTGTGCAGAAATGCCGTGCCGCTGGTATTCGTGTGATCGTCATCACCGGTGACAACCGCCATACTGCTGAATCTATTTGCCGTCAAATCGGTGTCTTTGGTCAGGATGAGGACCTTACGGGCAAGAGCTTCACGGGCAGGGAATTTGACAGCCTCTCGGAGAGTGAAAAGCTTGAGGCCGTCAAGAAGGCGTCTCTGTTCTCTCGTACCGAGCCAAGCCACAAGTCCAAGCTGGTCGATCTTCTTCAATCCCTGGGCCATGTGGTTGCAATGACCGGTGATGGTGTCAACGATGCTCCTGCCCTGAAGAAGGCCGATATTGGTGTCGCCATGGGTACGGGAACTGATGTTGCTAAGCTGGCTGCTGATATGGTTCTGGCTGACGACAACTTTGCGACAATCACCGTGGCTGTTGAAGAGGGCAGATCGATATACAGCAACACCCAGCAATTCATTCGCTATCTGATCTCCTCAAACATTGGCGAGGTGGTATCTATCTTCTTGACCGCAGCTCTGGGCATGCCCGAAGCATTGATCCCCGTCCAGCTTCTCTGGGTGAACCTGGTCACTGACGGGTTGCCTGCTACTGCCTTGTCGTTCAACCCTCCTGACCATGATGTGATGAGACGCGCGCCCAGAAAGCGCGATGAGCCTCTTGTGGGTGGTTGGCTACTTTTCAGATACCTGGTCATTGGCACATACGTTGGTGCTGCTACTGTTTTTGGTTACATATGGTGGTTTGTTTATAATCCAGAGGGACCTCAGATCTCCTTCTGGCAGCTGGTAAGCCAATCGTCTCGGTGGGAATCTTTTCATGCCTGTCTAACTCAGATTTGTAGTCCCACTTCCACAAATGCTCCGCTCAATTCCCCGAGATCGGTTGTGAAATGTTCTCCAACGACATGTCGCGGTCCGCATCCACCGTGTCGCTCTCGATCCTTGTGGTTATTGAGATGCTGAACGCCATGAACGCGCTCTCGTCCAGCGAATCTCTCCTCGCCTTCCCTCTTTGGAACAATATGATGCTGGTCTACGCCATCATTCTGTCGATGACCCTCCATTTCGCCATTCTGTATATCCCGTTCCTGCAGACATTGTTCTCTATTTTGCCGCTGAACTGGACTGAATGGAAGGCGGTTCTGGCGATCAGCGCTCCTGTTGTGTAAGTCTTGCCCTTATCCGTCCTCATTCCGAGTCCAGCTGTTGCTAACTGTTTATGAAGGGCCATTGACGA